GCAGGTCCCACGGTGTGTGTATTTCACCAGGAGTTTGGAAATGACAGAGGACTCACCTTCATTGCCTTGTAAGTGTTCCTCTCAGCGTTTGCAGAACGCCCCCCACCCCCCCCAGTCACAGACGGGAAGATAATCACTGTATTCTTACTGTTTTGTTTCTGTTGTTAAAGAAAGGAAATGTAGAATCCTCCAGAAATGCTTTCAAAGTTTCAGTCTTCGGGAAAGACACCCACACGCAGACAACCAACAAGTGTTCTGCCCCTTTGGCTTCCTCACCCTGCACTGTTCCCAAAGTGTGGTCCCCTGAGCAGCTGCAGCCACATGGCCTTGGGTTTGATAGAAATGCCAGTCTTGGGACCCAGACCCCGACCTACTGAGTCAGCAAGTCTGGGTCAGGGCCTGGGTGTCTGTGTTTTAACAAGCCCAGGTGCCCAATGACCAGGCTCATGTCTGGGAATCTCAGGCCTGCTCTTTCATCCCCATCCCACCCACTGCCAAGAGTGCCTGTGCCCGGCCCCCAGGAGGGCCTGGGGCAGTAGCCAGGGACAGGTGTCCCCCTGAGGGGCTCAGGCAGCCCTACCCTGCGTTCCTTGCAGTGCCAACACCCATAGAGGGTGGAGCCCAGCTGCCCTGCCTCCTACCTCCTGCTGCTCAAATAGGGTTGGGTAGAGTCTGTATCCAAGATAGAGGAGCGACATCTTTTTTAAAAGTCCTCCTGCCTGTGCTCCTTCTGGTTGCCAGTTGCAGGGAGCTCCAGTGCGGCCAGCACAGGTAGGCACAGCCAGCCAGGACAAGGGTGCATGGGAGTACTGGAGGCCCAGGGCTCACAGCCCCAGCGTCATGGGGGCTACAGACACTAATCCCACTGTCACTGGCAGCTGCCGCTAGGGTGGGGGTAGGGATTTGTGAGGGAGAGTCTAGGAAACTTGGAGGTCCATGGGGTCGGGGTTGGCGTAGCACCCTGTATTCTGTCCTTTCTGCTCTCTGGGCTCCAGGAGTGTCCAGGATTACAAGATTGTGATCATCTTGTCCTGTACACCTGCTGGGGACAGTTGTTCCTTGAGGGACCACAGTGCTCTCAGAGTTGCATCAATGCAGGTGACAGCAGAGCCAGCAGAAGCTCAGTCTGTCTGGTGGGAGCTGGGTGGCCCCCTTTGCACTTCTGCCTCTGACTGGCCAGGTAACCCTGGAGTTCAGGAGGAAGCCTTGATCTAAGAGGAGCTGGGGCATTCCCTTTGTGACAGTTCTGCGCTGTCCTGGGGGTTGATTTGAGAGCAGGTACAGAGTTGAACAGCTGGTTCCCCTTTGGATGGAGCATGACAGGTCTCTGAGACACAGCTGAGAGACTCAGGGGCAGACGCAGAGAGGCAGAGTCACCCTCTTCTTTCTTGAAGATGGGGAAACTGAGTCAAGTGACTCCCTCCTAAATTGTGCCACGGGAGGGCCCAAGCCAGTACTTTGCAGGTAATGTGACCGCATGGTTGAGGGAAGTGACCTGAGCTTGGCCGGCCTGCATTTATGTTCCGGTTCTACTGGTCCCATTGCTTGTGATCGTGCTCCAATAAAGTTAGCACTTGGGGGCCTTGACTTTCCCAATTATTAGAGGGAAATGCTGGCGGTTGCCCCAGCAGCTGGGGGGGCTGATGCCTCAAGTGTTTGAGCTTCTTCTTCTTGCTGATCTAATCCACTCCCCAACAATGAGCCCTACTAACCGCAGGTATCGTACACAATGTTGGGAGGGGGAGATGTTGGCATGATGGATGGTGTGTGATTCTTCCACTTGAGAAACTCAGCACTGGCGTCCTCTGTGTGGGGGGATGGGAAGGCAGGCCCAGCAATGGGGATGGTGGCTGCATCCGCACTGTGAGTCAGGCCCCATAGTGTTTTTGTATCGCAGTAACAGTCCTCACAAACACCTGATGGCCTTGCAAGATGGGGAAGAACACAGCACATGTTCGGGGTTTATCCCAATGGGCAGACATTGAGGTGTCTTCAGGGGGAAATGGTTTGGGCACAATTCTCTGAGCCGCTGGCTCTCAGTTCTGCCTGCAGGTGAGAGTAGCCTGCAGAGCTCACTGGAAGGAAACAGCTGCCAGGCCCCCCTGGGGACAAGAAGTTGAGTCTTGGCCTGGGACCCCGGGGAGAGCTGGAGCCGCCATGCACGGGCCCCTCTGAGTGCCGTGAAAGGGGGTTCAGGGTAAACACAACCAAAAGTACAGAGTGGCTGACTTTCATATCTGTGTTCTGTTTTTCTTTTAGAAATGTCGAAATCAAACGTGAGTATCCATTTTCCTTCTCCACTTATCTTCATTGTAGAAATTTTACAATCTGTTTTACTCCTAAAGATTCATTTTTCAAACAAATATATAGTGAGTCCCGGTGGGGGATGGACCTGAGTTTCCCTGTGAGAGGTCCTGGTCCTTTTTAGACTAACTGGAAAACTAGATGCTTTAACTCATCTGTATGTGGAATGATTAATGGATGGGAACAAAACTATTGAAATTCTAGTTTCCATCTCTGGGTTGTCCCTGATAAGTAACCCAGTGGGCATTGGCTGCTTGTTTGAGGATCGGGACGGGCAGGAGCACATCTCCATCCTGTGCTGTTTTCTCTCCTCAGAGTTGCTTTGGTTACCCCCTGAGCATCTTCTTCATCGTGGTCAATGAGTTCTGTGAAAGATTTTCCTACTATGGAATGAAAGGTAATAGGTTTGACTATTTCTCACCCTTCAGGGAAGGGCAAGAGTCACTTGGCTGGTCCTAACTTTGTTTCCCCTCCTCTCCACCTGCCCTCGGCAACTAGCAATCCTGATTCTGTATTTCACGAATTTCATCAGCTGGAATGATAATCTCTCCACCGCCATCTACCACACGTTTGTTGCTCTGTGCTACCTGACGCCCATCCTTGGAGCCCTTATTGCTGACTCATGGCTGGGAAAGTTCAAGTGAGTGGTTGGAAATGCTTGGTCAGGTTTCAGAAACAGGTGTATTCATGACTGGGCTCTTGTCAGTGTTGGAGGAAGAGGTCTTTTGTGCTAGAATCAGCAGTGGGCAGCTATAGTGTAATTAACTGGGATTCTCTTAACGCTTTTAAACACAGGACCATTGTGTTTCTTGTTCACAAACAAGCCACAGGTAAATGTAAACTTTCTGGTTTTGGATGGTGGAATCTGGGAATAGAGAATTAAGGAACATAAACTCTTAGGATAGCCTAGCACACTGCCTGACATTTAGCAATACCAGTAACATGAGTAGGTTTCTGTCCTAATGCAAACAAATATGAGATCTTTGTCTTATCTTGAAGTAGTAACAGAGACAGGCCATTCATGATTTGTGAGCCAGAGTTAAAGGCCAGGAAACAAAGACACTCTCTAATACACATGCTGGCTACCGAGTGGCTCAGCTGCTCACTGGGCAGAGAGGACATGCAGTGTGAGCTCACTAAGGAGAGCCCTCTCCCAGCCCTGCAGGAACTGCTCCAAAAGCACATCCAATGGGAGGCCACCAGGAAAGTTCCTGGGATTTAATGAAGAAGGAAGTAGAGGCTCTGCTGGGCCAAAGGAATGACATGGGCTGTCTTCATTTAGTCAAGTTGCTATAAAGGAATGACTGAGATTGGGTAATTTATAAATAGAAAAGATTGATTTGGCTCAGGATTCTGCTGGCTGGAAGATTAGGCAGCTGGTAAAGCCTGAGGCTGCTTCCACTCATGGGAGAAGGGCACAGGGAGCCAGCGTGTACAGAGATCACATGGAGAAAGCAAGATCACAGAGAGGAAGCAAGAGAGACGGGTGGGAGCTCCTGCAGGAACTTCTGGAGTGAGAATTCACTCAGCCATGAGGATGGCACCTCAAGCCACTCCTGAGGGATCTTCCCCATGACCCAAACACCAACACTGGGGATCTAATTTGAACACGAGGATTGGAAGGCCAAACAAAACAAACAGGACAGAAGCAAGAACATTCGCTACCTCAACAGAATTCTACAAAAGTACAGAGTGGTCCACTCTTGGATCAGTATTATCACCAGGCCCAAGATAAGTAACTCTCACTGCTCAAAGATATGAATACTCCTTTCTGCAGCTAGGTAAAATAAAACACTGGGTCTTTTGAACAGTTGAAAGTGGATCTTACCCTTCTCCTGGTCTTCCAGCCAAAACTTCGCACAAAGATCCAGAGAGTTGCCAGTTTGGTCATGTTTGAGAAACAGGTGTATTCGTGACTGGGCTCTTGTCAGTGTTGCAGGAAGAGGTCTTTTGTGCTGGAGTCAGCAGTGGGCAGCTATAGTGTAATTAACTTGGATTCTCTTAACGCTTTTAAACACAGGACCATTGTGTCTCTGTCCATCGTCTACACAATTGGACAAATAATCATTTCGATAAGCTCAATTAGTGACCTCACAGACCACAACCGTGACGGGATCCCTGACAACCTTCCTACACACATGTGAGTTGATGTAAGCACTGCCCTCCCCCTGTCCTTCCACCACGTGCTTACTCGGTGCCCTAATCCTCCTCTTTCTCCATGGACTTCACTGTGAGTACAGAGGCTTTGTCTTCCCTGTTGGCTCTATGGGGAAGGCTGTCCAGTGGACCCCACCCTAGTGGGCATCTGCAGACCTTGCTCCTTTGGAGGCTTGGCTGTCCTGGGCTGTCACATCCCACGTGATGTGTGGTCAGTGGGCAAGGTATTCATCTTAGTCTAGATCTTCCCTGGAGGGACAAACCCCCAAGACCTTGGCCCTAACATCCCCAGTTTCCTCTGGTACTTTTGATCTTCTGTCTAGGTCCACAGCTCTGCTTATTTTTCTGTAATTCACTTTCATAAGTATTTGTCCTGGCCCTTGGTGCTGGGCTCTCAGTGGCAAGTGTCACTGATACGTAGTCATCCACTGGATTCATTTCCCTCCACTGAAATCTGGCCCAGTAGACTCGCTGGAAGGATTTATTTTGTTCCCTGTTTCTCTGCTTCAGTTCCTTGACCTATGGAGTAAACAAACCATCTTATGGGCTGGGAAAATGCAATAGAAACTCAAATTAGGATTGGCAATCCCTGCATTTCCGATTTGTCAGCCCATCAGATTGCTGTCCAGACCCCGTCCCTTGATGCCCAGAGGGGACTGTGAGGTGGGGGGAGTGGGTGAGAGTTCAGACTGCCATATCCTGATTCCAGCTCTCCCACCACGCTGTCTGGCCTTGGGCAGGTGCACTTCCTCTGTGCCTCAGTTTCTTCAGCTAGAAGAACTGTTCCAGGCAAAGCACCTAGAGCACTGCCTGACAAGTGATAAAGGCCAAAGAGATCTTAGCTTCTTATTTTCCATTTCATGGAATTAGTATTGGAACCCACCTAAAATTGTCATAGCAGTAAATGGTATATGACAGTCAACTGGCCATGGTTTTGTTGTCTCTATTATGCTTAGGTATAGAGTATTAAATATCTTTAAGTATTAAATACTACTACTGTTTAATACAAGTTGTATTAAGAGGCAAGCAAGATTTGGCCAGTTAATTCAGGAAGATTGATTCAGGAAGCATGACTTTCAAAGAATTCTTTCTTTGTGCAACTTCTGCCTTGAGTTTCTCTGTATAATAAATTTTTCTTTAGTATTTTTAAGGACCATTAGCAACCCAGAAGTACAGGATACATGTTTGTAAAACTGAAGTTTGTGATACCTAATGTAAATTTAATTAAACCTAAAAATGAGGGCTGAAAAATGCTGGGACTATTTTACTCTCAATATACAGAGATAACATGGATAATAAAAAAGGACAAAAAAAAATAATCTCTAATTCTACCACCTGTACATATCAGTAAATATTTTACTCTATTAAGCAAATTACAATCATATACTACATAACCTGGCGTTCTGTTTGGCAATGAAAGCATATTTTCCAGTGTCACTTAATGATTATTATGAGTCTGTTATGACTATATCACACACAATCCTCACAGTTGTCCAATTAACATTCCATTTACCCATTCGGATACTAGAACTATTAAAGCTACTCCATATCTCTTTGCTCATAATTCAAACTATTGTTTTAAGTTTTCTAGATGGTAAATTATTAGACAAGGATAAGAACTTGAGGAACCACGAGTTTAGGTTTTCATTCAGCTATCAGACTGCATGTGAATTAAGCTTCTCCTGAAGGTCAAGTCCTTTCTCTGTGTCTATCACTGCACCTGGTCCTCTGGGGGGAAGGGAGGAGAAAGAGGCTTCTGCCAGAAGGACCTGCCATTTCAGTACTAACCGACTTTCTTCCCTAGAGTGCTGTCCATGATGGGCCTGGCCCTGATCGCGCTGGGCACTGGAGGAATTAAGCCCTGTGTGTCTGCATTTGGTGGAGATCAGTTTGAAGAGGACCAGGTAAGAGCACATGCCTCCCTCAAGACCATAGGAAGGGATTATAACATACAGGGGTCAGGTTCCACTGGCACAACGTCTGTTCTTTCAGTTATGTTCATGTCCACTAGAGAGCAGGACGGTGACCAAAATCAAGTAGGGAGCCAGGTCAGATCCTTGGCCACGTCTGCCCCGTTGGTACGGAGCCCAAGTCATCTTACTATACCTCTGCCCTTTCCACCGCAGGAAAAACAAAGAAACAGATTTTTTTCCATGTTTTATTTGGCCATTAATGCTGGAAGTTTGCTTTCTACCATCATCACGCCCATGCTCAGAGGTAAGAAACAGCTGAATGGGCTCGGCGCCTGTGGCTCAAGTGGCTAAGGCGCGAGCCACATACACCTGAGGTGGCGGGTTCACATCCAGCCC